TTAATAATTTCTTGTATTTCGGGAATAGTAAAAAATTTAATTTTCCCTATTGCCTCTTTCTCTTGGTCTTTGATTGCTACCGAGCCAGAATATTTTTGGGTTTGATAAAAATAACCTTTTCACCAAATATTATTAACATGAAAAGTTTCTTCACCAATCCTTTCTAAATCCGTAATTGTTAAATTAGTTTCTTCAAAAATTTCTCTTTTGGCAGCAGCTTTCAGTGTTTCATTTGGTTCTATTTTTCCTCCCGGGAATACTCAGCGGTCTCTTTTCTTGTGGTAGACTAAAAGATACTGATTTTTCTGGTTAGCAATGGCTACACAAACAAACTCCTTAACTTTACTATCTCTGGGGGCAGTCGGGAAAAAAAAGTATTCTCCAGCTGGAGAATTAAGGTAATTTAGCAAGGCATCAAATCACACGTAAATAGTTAATTTTTCCTCGTTGGGAACCGGAATTCCTCATTCGACATCACTACGGGTAATACACAAATCCGGCAAAGGTTCCCGAAGAAAATTAGCCTGCAACTCGTTTTTAATTGCGAGCGGGCTAAGAAAATCAGTTTTTTGTCAATATTCTAATAATTGCTTTTGATACTTGCCAATTCGTAAAAAATAGGCTCTTTCCTCAATAGTTTTTAAGCTAGTTTGGCAAGCCGAGCAAAAATTATTTTGATTTTGGCTCGGACTAACGTAATCCTCACAAGTAACACAATAATCACCTTGATATTTTCCCAAGTAAATGTCGCCTTGTTCTAGCAACTTAGTAAAAATTTTTTGTACTTTTTCTCGGTGTTGCAGAATAGAAGTGCGGTAAAAATTATGGGACGAAATATTTAATTTTTTTCATAATTCGTGAAACAATTCTCCATTTTTGGCCACTAACTCGGCTGGAGAAATATTTAAAGTTGCGGCTTTTTTCTCAATTTTTTCTCCGTGGTCGTCGCTACCAGTTTGGAAGTAAACTTGATAACCTTGGCTTTTTTTGTAGCGAACAATAACATCCGCTACTACCACAGTGTAAGCATGTCCTAAATGTAAGCGGTCATTGGGATAAAAAATTGGGGTGGTAAGATAAAAAAATTTTGTCATAATTGGTTAAAATTATTTTTTAAAAAAGAATACTGGCTAGGCAATTCAAGTCTTAAAGAAAATTGTTTGGTTTATTACAAAATGCGAAACCGATGCCAACCTAATTTTGTCTAGTTCCTAGTATTCAAGGGAGTTTTTTGAATAAGGAACTAATTTTTTTCCGCATAATATAGTATACGAATTTACCCTAAAAAAATTTTGACTTTTTATTACTCGGGCAAGAAAAATATCCTTTTTCTATTATTTTTAAATTATTTTAAAAAATTTAGTTAAAACTAAAAGCAGAAAATAATTTTGCCTAATGTAATAACTATTTTTAATTAAAAAATTTCCTAAACCTTTTATTTTTTTTGAAAAATGACCGGTCAGTTTGGCTTGGTAAAATCGTATGTAATTGCTAAAAAAATTAAACCGGGGTTTTGTCTTTTTCGATAATTCTGCTTAACACCTCACTAGGAACTTTTTGGTAATGAGATAATTCCATGTCAAACACTCCTTCTCCGCTTGTAGCATTAAGAAGTTCAGCGTTGTAATCAAGCAAATTAGCCAAAGGGACATGAGTGTGAATAGTAAGGTCTTTTTCGCTTTTTTCTACTTTATTAATTACTCCTTTGCGAGAAATTACGTTGTTTAACACATCTCCGTAACAATCCTCGGGAGTAGTCACTTCTAATTCCATAATTGGTTCCAAGAGAGTTAGTCCCATTTTTTCCTTGCTTTCGCGAAAAGCCAAAATGCCAGCTTCCTTGAAATCGAATTTGGCCGA